GCTTGACAAGCAAACAGCAGGAGAGACCCAGGACACACAGATTGGAAAACGTAGACAATTTATTTCCTTACTACTCATAAAAACGCCCAAATCCCACCAGGGGCTGTGACACCGGGATGGATCCTCCCTCCCCCATCTGGGGGCTGGGACCCTCCAGCCTCTTGGCTCCATCCCCCCAGGGGGAGGAGCTGCAGAGGGGGCAGCAAGCTGGAGTGGGGCCATCAACCACGGAAGTGAGCAAACTCCTTGCGCAGCCAGAGCGAGTCCTGGTAGAAGAGTGGGTCACCCAGGTGCACCGCAGTCCTCTTGTAGAAGTAGCAATAGAGCACAGCCGCTGCGGGAAGAAGGGAGGTGAGGGCACAGGGACTAAGCTGTGGGGTGTCCCTCAGGCAGGTGACAGAGTTGTTCCTGCTTTCTCAGCAAGCGTGAGCCCTTACCCAGCCGCTGGAAAACAAATAGTGTCTGCAGGCCTTCTGTCCAGATGAAGCGACTGGAATCCCTCCAGCGCAGGTTCTGACATAGACAGAAACAAGAAAGAACCCATGGGCTAATTTAGGGGTGCTGATGATCCCACTGGGATGGAGCTAGCCCCACAAGGGCTGTTGTGCTCTTGGTGCCAGCTCCAAAGGTTAAGCAGCTCAGGGGATTTGGCCAGCAAGTCAGGACCTATTCTTGCTTCAGACTTTAGATCCCTGCAAATCCCCACCAATCTGCTGTCCAGACAGTGTGGGTACAACATCCCTGGGTCGCTTCAGTCACAAACTGGCCCTGGGGTAGCAGGATGGACCCTCTCCCCAAGTCCTGTTGAAGAGCATACAGGAAGCACCTGTCACCTGCTTTGCTTGACAAATGGTGACTGTGGCACAGGATGGGGGAGCTGAAATGGGGAAGAAGGGGCTGCTTGGACACAGCAGGGACCCTTAGGGCTTGTTTTCAGCAGGGAGGGGGCTGCCTCCAGCCTGAGTGCTGGTGTTTGCTGGGGATTCATCCCAGGTAAACAAAGCAGGAGTCCCCTGGCCTTCAGCAGGGACTACTCCAGTGTGGTGAGTTTCTGTGCAAGGCTTTCCCTGCAGATTTTCAAGCAGATCACAGTGCTGAGGCTCGGGCTGAGATGAGGTAGCCCAATAGCTACAACAAGTGGGAGATTATGGCCTTCCTTTCACAGGGGGGGACAGAAGAGAGAAGCGAGCCTACCATGATCCAGACGTGGAAGGAGATGCTGAGTGCCAGGTAGGCTGCTGACAGTAGGATGGTCCCCTTGAACTTGTGGAAGAGAAGGTTGACCAGTCCAGCTTGGAAGACAAAGGTATTGAAGAACATGAGGAAGATGATGATGACATTGAAGAGAATGGCAATATCCTGGATGCTGCAGAAGAAGAGAGATGCAGTAAGAGAGAGGAGAGAGTGATGTGGGAGAGCCCGGACCTCCTACCCTGGTGCTCACATGAAGAGGACAAGCTGGACAGCAGGAGCTGTGCGGAGCAGCTCCGAGAAGGAATTGACAAACAGGTCGTAGAAAAGCAGCAGAAACTGCAGGAACAGCACCAAGCTGTAGTTGCTGGTCCGGAGCATCTTCCTTTGGTGGAGGCTTGAGCCTTCAGCCCCAGCATCCCTAGTGCTGAGGGCAGCTCATGGCACAGGGCTAGGAGCTCGGCATCGCTGCTCCCTACAGCTGGCACCTGAAGGAAGCAGAGTTCAGCTTGGTAGGGCTGGGCACGGCCAGCATACCCAAAACAGAGTCAAAGCCGTGACAAATCCCAACAGCGTTTGGCACACTGGTGCCTCCGGCTCCCCCAGGCCATGCCATAGGAATGGGCTGGAGCACGCCATGACCCAGCATTGCTGTCCATTGCCCCACCCCAGCCGCATGCTCCCGGCTTGGGGCGGCTCGCACAGGAGGATACAGGTGTGGGGATGAGAAGGGAGCCAGAGCCTTCCTTCCCATCTCTCACAGGTAAGGCACTGCCCAGAGCTGACGGGGGCCAGGAGAACGGGAACTGCCCATATCGCTGCCACAAAGAGTCGCGAAGCTGAGAATCGCTCCCAAAACCCCACACCGCGCCCAGCCCGGCTCGCGGCCTCCCTCCCCATGGAGATCCACAGGGGCGCTCCCCCGGGCCTTTTCCCAGCCACGGAGCCCCGCAGTCTCGTCTCCATGCCGCTCTCGGTACCGCCGTCCCCGCTTCGTCCACCTCCAGCCCTGACCGCGGCCCAATGCTCACCCACGGCCACCGTTCTCCATCTCCATGGGAACCGCAGACGGAAGCGGGGGCGGAAGCGCGAGGGGGCCGCTCTATCCACAGCTCTCGTTGGTCGCGTTGGCCTCCACCCCGGCAGCGACCACACCACCACCGAGGCGGGCCGCTAGAGCGGCGCCGTCCAACATGGCGGCGCTCGCTGAAGGGGAAGGGGAGGTGGGGCCCAACGGGTCCCGGGAGGGTTTGAGGTGCGGTTTCCCCCGACGCAAAAATATCTATTTCTGGGGACAGATGCAAATCCCCAGGCAAATAAGCGCGGCCCCGTGCCTGTCCGTCACTTCTTGGGGCTGTGGGGTTGCACTTCTTTGGGACGCTGGGGGCAGCTTTGTCAACGCAGGGAACAGCTTTGGAGGTGCTGGGCCCAGATTTGGGGGTGCTGGGGGCACGTTGGGGGTTTGGGGGTGGGATTTGAAGGTGCTAGGCTCCGGTTTGAGGGTGCTGAGGGTGGATTTAGAGGTGCTGGGGACAGTTTTGGGCTGCTGGGGATCCGCAGAGAACGTTTCTTCCTGCCTGCCTGCCTGCCTGCCCCCACTGGATGGGGCCACCCTCCCCACCGCAGCTGCTTCCCCTTTCGGGTGGCTCCTCCCCAGTGTGCCTGCATCCAACTAAGCAGGTGCAGCAGGGAGCCTCCAGGAAGGCTGAAAGCTCCTGTTTCCCCCCCCAGGACCCTGCAACTTGCTGCGGTGATGCTGGATCTGCCTTTCCTGCCTTTCTGCACCTTCCTGGGGAGCCTGGGGCTGGGCTGCGTGGCCTTTGTCAGTGCGTGGTGCCAGCACTGGCGAGGTGGCTTTGCCTGGGATGGCAGCGCCCGCATGTTCAACTGGCACCCGGTGCTGATGGTGACAGGCATGTTGGTGCTGTATGGAGCAGGTAAGCAGCGCGTGCGGGGTGGGGCGACGTCCCATTGTCCCTCCCTGACACTGTCACCCACCAGCGGCTCTGGTGTACCGCCTACCCCCCACCTGGCGTGGCCCCAAGCTGCCCTGGAAGATGCTGCACAGCACGCTGGCACTGACAGCCTTCATCCTTGCTGTGCTGGGACTGGTGGCTGTCTTCAACTTCCACAATGCGAGCAGAACGCCCAACATGTACTCGCTGCACAGCTGGCTGGGGCTGGGCACCATACTACTCTTCTCCTGCCAGGTGAGTGCTCGCCCTGACACCCCACATCCCTGCCCCTTGTGCCACCCCTCCTCATCTCTTGTCCCCACAGTGGGTGGCTGGCTTCAGTGCTTTCCTGCTGCCCTATGCACCCATCTGGCTCCGCACCCTCTACAAGCCCATCCACGTCTTCTTCGGCTCCACCATCATTATGCTCTCCATGGCCTCCTGTGTGTCAGGCATCAATGAGAAGCTCTTCTTCAGCCTGTGAGTGCTGCGGATTCGGGCTGCGTGTTGACTCTCTGTGATTACGCTGGCGTTGAGTGAAACTAAATGTGGGCTTAGTTAAGGGAAGTGTGTGATTTCCCTCCATGCCAGGTGCACAGTTCCTGGGTAATAAATTATGTGGGCTGAGAGGAAGACGGGGCAGTTCAGGAAGGCTTTCTGGGAGGGTTTAACTCCACAGATGTCACCTCCAGCCATGCTGCCACATACACTGGCCGCTTGTAGCTGGTGCAGCATTCATCTTGGGTCAGCGGATTGGGACAGCACCCTTGGGACAGGTGACCATGGGAGCAGTGTTATGGAGCCACCAGGGTAGGAGGGAGCTCAGCCCACAGTCCCAGGGCATCATGTGAGATGAGCACTGTGATTCTCCTCCAAAGGAAGAATGGGACAGCGTCGGTGCCATACAAACTCCTTCCACCTGAGGCCGTATTTGCAAACATTTTGGGGCTCCTAATCATCCTGTTTGGGATGCTGGTGCTGTATGCCCTGGCCAAGCCCAGCTGGAAGCGCCCAGAGGCCGACTCCCTTGACACTCACCAGGTACTTGCCTTGCTGTGGGGCTGCTCCCAGTACGGCTTTGAGGAGCTGAGCTGGGGGTCTGCCCCTGCCCCCCACAGCCCCAGCTGGCTTATCTTCAGGGTGGGGGTGGCAGGCAGCACGGGCTGAAGGTTCACGCATATCTCCTTGCAGCCTCTGCTTGGTGCTGAGCACTGACACCTCTGAGGTCTCTCCCATTGCTGCCAGCCCCAGGCTCTCTGATCCTGGCTCTGATCCCCCACGCCTGGACTGCGATCTGTGCCAAAGCCCTGCAGTGCCATCCTGAGAGAGTCAGGTCTAGAGCTGCTTGAGAAGCTCTCTGTGCCAAGGGACCTGGCCCAGGACAGGCTGCCCCGGCTCCATCTCCTCTGCAGGAACAGCAGGAGCCTTTGCACCATGCCTTGCCTGTTGTGGGGATGCTTGTGCGGAGGTAGAACCAACCCAGCAGTCAAATGGACACCTAATAAACTGCTGGCTTCCTTCCTCAGTGCTCCTGTGCATCCTTTGGGGCTGCTCTGCCAGTTCCTCAGCCCTTAGAGCCACCATGTGTTCCCCACCTCGTGCTGCAGACCTGGTTCCTGTTTTGTCTCTTGACTGGAGCCTCCTCCAGACCCCGTGCCTGCAGCCACATGAACCCCGTGGTTTCCCCACCCGGCACCCAGCCATGGGTCAGTGGCAAAGGCACGTGGATAGCCCAGCTGCTTCCTTCCTCCATGGTTCCGTTTTGCATGGGGATGCGTCCCTGAAAGGCCAGTTGCCTCCCACACCCCACATCCCACCATCCTGTCCCTGTCTGTATGAGAATAGATGCTCTAGTGGGACTGCAAAGGTTTATTAGGGGCATGCAGGGTGTGCCAACACCTCTCCCATCACCACCGTGGCCCTGGGGACCTGCAGGGGGATATAGCTCAGCCCTGCAATCCCTCCAGCACAGCTCGCAGGACAGCTGCTGCCGCCACAGCCCCAGGATCAGGCTGCAGCAGCTGGGCTGAGCTGATGTAGCTGGCTCTGCCTGCACCAGCCTCCATGTGCCGAGTAGACTCTGCTGCTGCCTCTGCCCTCTGCTTGGAAACACAGGTATGCTCAGCACACAGCTGGGACACACAAGGCAGCCCCAGATGTCACCTGGGTGCCACCCATCCTAGGACTCCATCCCCATACCTCCACAGCAGAGGCCAGCACCGTAAGCAGGTCAGCTCTGGGGCTGCGTAGGGCACGCAGTGCCTGTGCTGCAGCACACAGTGCATCCAGCTGGGAGACACAGTGGGGGGATGAGCACTGGGACCCTCGCCAGAGGCTCTGTCCCTCAGCATTGCAGCACTCACCATTGTCCTGTCGCCTGGGGCCGCTCCTCCGTACCTGCACAAGGAGCAGAGGGCTTGACAAGGTCCCACTCAGGGAGTCCCAGGGGGTCCTGCTGCACTCACCGCTGCATGGCTTCGATGCCAGCATCCACAGCATCGGCCCACACTGGCAGGTCGCTGCGGTTGTGCAGGGGGTGGGCTGCTGCTGTCAGGAACAGTCCATATAGCTGCCAGAACACATCAGTGCATGTGATGGGGGGGATGGTGGGGGTCCTGAGACATGCCCCCTCCCTTCACTGGGGCTCACCACACCAGAGGAGCCACCCATCTTGTCCAGCAGGAGGTCGGCCAGAGCGGAGAAGAGATGGGCTGGAGATGAAGGCAGGGGCTGGGCACGCATCCATTCCTGGATGGCTGTAGGGTGGAGAGAAAGGGCTGGGGTACTCCCCACAGGGACCCCCAACTACCCTGGGGGGCTCTGCCCCTCTTGGGAGACAGCTGGTCTTCCCCCATGCCTGGTGTGGGGATATTTATGGGGACCCAGCAAGGAGCAAAAGGGGGGAACTGTGTCCTTGGAGGGGGTGCCGCAGCAGATGGCACTTCCCAGGGCACCAGCACCCACCTCGGGCAGCTCGGGCGTGCGTGTGGCCGCAGTCCCCATCACCTGCTGCACGGTCCAGCTCATTGAGCTTGTCCTGCAGGCCCAGCAGGGTGCTGCACACTCGTGCCAGCACCTTCTGTGCTCGCTCCATGCCGGGCCCTGAGGAGACATGACCCCCCCATCCTCAAAGTAGCTAGGGAAACTGAAGCACGAGGAGGTGACAGCATCCTCTCTCACTCTACTGCTGCCCATACCTGTACTGGGCACTTGCTTTGCTGTCTCCATTCCCTCCTTTGGTGCTTCCACCTCTGGTCTCTGGCTCATGGCAGGTCCTGTGACCACGTTAGGCCATGCCACGGCAGTGGTCTCAGCATCTGGAGCAGCAGGAGGGGAAAGTGAGTCTAATAGACTAACTTCACCACAGCTAGTAGCCAGGTACTGGTGCTGCATGTCCACAGGGGCCAGTGTCTTGGGCCACCCCACACATTCCCATGGTCCCATGCCACCCCCCCCCATGTTTCAGGTGCTCACCAATCAGCTTCAGCAGCTCCTTGTCCACCAGCAGAAGGGTGAGGGAGATCCCGGCCATCTCCAGTGCTGTCATGAAGGAGCCCACCAGTGCCCGAGCAATACAGACGCCACGCTTCTCTGCAGGAATGAGAAGGATGTAAGTGAGGAGGTCCCTAGAAGGTCCCCATGAGGTCCCCAGTGACTCACCCAGACTGCTCACAGCCACACCAGCCACAATGCTCAGCTCCAGGCAGGACAGACCACCCAGGTTGTTCACCACCAGCACCACAGAGGCTCCTGTGGAGCAGTGAGCAGAGTAAGAGCCCCACTTGTAGCACAAGAGGTGCATAGGGGCCAGGGGGACTCACCAGGGCTCAGGGGCAGGTGAGAGGCATTGGAGGGGTCGGTCATGTGCGCCAGCATTGTCTCCACCGCCTCATCCACAGGCATCACCTGGGGGACACAAGGGGAGCGTGAGGGCAGGAAGGAGACACAGAGGGAGGATGGGGTGGAAGAACAACGCTCACTTTCATTCTGCGCACGCCAGCCTCGCCGTGGATCCCTGTAGAAGGGTAGCAGTGTCACCCCATGCTGATGCCTGGGGTTGGGGCAAGGGTCATGTGGACCCATGCCCCCCAGCAGCTTGGCACAGGGCGGGGGCAGCTCCTCACCCAGCCCCAGCTCCATCTCATCATTAGCCAGCTGGAAGGTAGGCTTGGAGCCAGGCACGCTGCATGGTGACAGGCTGAGCCCCAGAGTGCCTGCAAAAAGGTGAAGGCAGAAAGGGATGCATGCCAGATTTCAGGGCAGGCATTGAGCACGTGGTTGGTTGGATGGGGAGGCAGAAGGGCGACTGTGTCCCAGGCACGCTGCAGGTGCGTGGGGTGCTGAAGTTCACCCTGTGCTGGTGCCTCTTATCAGGCACTGTGGAAGAACAGGGATGGGGTTGGGGACAGGGATTAGGCCCCATGCACATACCCATGCCTTTGGTGAGTGCTGACACCCTTGTGACGATCTCATCCAAGCTTGCCCCCGCCTCAGCCATGGCTCCAGCCACCTGCAAAGAGGCATCGATGGGTGAGGGACGCCCGCATGTCACCGCCGAGGAGCACTGCATCTTCACACACCTTGTGCACGAGGACAGTGCCACACAACCCGCGGCGCCCAGCTTTCTTCTGGCTGGTGAAGGCACAGTCATCGCCCACCACCACCATCCGTACATCGGTGCCCTCTGCCCGTGCCCGCTCCAGTGCCAGCCCAAAGTTCAAGCGGTCCCCGGTATAGTTCTTCACGATCAGCAGCGTCCCCACTGCGAGCAAGAAGTCAAACCACAGGCCCACGGTGTCCCCATGCCCCACAGTGTCATCATACCTGCACCAGCCGCTGTCACCGCCCGGATGGCTGCCAGGATGCTGCCCACAGCGGGAGAGGTGAAGATGGCACCGGCTACCACGCCACTCAGCATGCCTTTCCCAATGTAGCCTGCAACAGGCACAGGGGGCTTGGGGACGCCCAAGGGGCATCAAGGCCACGGGTGGGCACTTACCTGCGTGGGCACTCACCTGCATGAGCGGGCTCGTGTCCGGAGCCCCCCCCGGAGAGCAGTGCCACACGTCCCCGCAGGGCAGCCAGGTCAGAACGTAGGGCCACTCGGTGTCCCCGCAGCAGCTGCAGCCCGGGGTTGCATGCCACCAGCCCTGCCAGTGCATCCTCAGCACAGCTGGCCACCGAGCACACCAGCTTCTTGGGGACCTGGAGGCGCAGAGGGGTGGCTGGGTAGGGGGCTGGGGAGCTGGGTGTGCGGGTGGGGAGCAGGGTAGGAGGCTGGGAGGCTGGCTGGGGGCTGCGTGCTGCCCCAGGCTCACCTCCATGATTGGGGCGTGCGCGGCACCAAGAGGACACGGGGTTCTGTCCACTGTCACCGCGCTGCAGCTCCCGCACAGCCTTCAGACCCAGGTTCAAACTCTGTTTGGAAGTGAGGGAGGGCAAGGTCCAGGCTCCCTCGGTGGGGTGGGGCGGGTCCCGCCTGGGCTGGGTGCAGCCCACATTCGGGGGCACTGCTGGGATGGCGGGGCACAGCCCCACACGCGAGGGGCAGTGCTGAGATGGGGGGGTACGGTCACACACAACGCGGGGCGCTGCTCGGATGGAGGCCCACCGGGAAGCGCCCCTCCCTGAAGGTGAGGCCCCTCCCCGAGGTACCAGGGCCGCCCCTACACCTGCCCTCTCGTCTGCCCCTCCGCGGTCCTCCCCGGCGGGCAGAGCGGCGTGGGGAGCTAACTTCCGGTGACGTCACCGCGGCGGGCGGAAGGGGCGGTGGAGTGGCCGCGCTAGGCCGCAGCTCCCGGTGCGCGCCGCGGTTTGGTCGGTTACGGGACTCGTTGCCGTCTCTGCCATGTCGTACAATTACGTTGTGACGGCGCAGAAGCCGACGGCCGTGAATGGCTGTGTCACCGGTACCGGCGGGACGGGGCGGGGCTCAACGTTCACGGCGAGATCTGCGCGGCCTTGCGTTTTGGGGGGGCACTGGAGGCCTCCAGAGGCACACGGAGGAGTTGCCGGGGGGGGATGGGTTGTGGGTAGATCGGGTCAGCGAGTGATTGGGGTGTTGTGGGGAGGTGAGATCAGTGAGGAACTGGGAGTGTTGTGGGTAGATGGTTGCGCTGAGATGGAAGGGACATTATGGAAGTCTGGAGGTGAAATGATGCTCCTGGATGGTGTTTGTGGGGAGCCCAGGGGTGCAGGGGGACCCCGGGGTTTGTGGGTGCAAGGAGGGTTCTGGGAATGTCCAGTGGTTATCCAGTGGTGGGCATTGGGGTTGATGCGGTGGAGTGAGGGGCACCAGGGTATGTGTCTGGGGTTGCCTTGAGGTTCTAGGAGAGTGTGAAGGGCTAGACGGGATATTGGGCTCTTTTTTTGGCAGGAGAGATAGTAGGGAGCTTGAAGAGGGGCAGGGTGTTTCCCTGGAAGCTGCTGGGCTCCAAAGGTGGAGGATAGAGCTGAGCAGAGCAGTTTTGCTCTTCAAGGGTGCAGTGGGGAGGGGTCTTCTCTGTTCAGGTTTCTGGAGCTTGTGAAGCTGGTCGCAGTGGGTCTGGCAGGACTTTGAGTGCTGGAAGCTGAGTTTGGGCTAGGGAGGGCATCGACAGGGCCCCAGGGTTTGAAGCTGACGATCCATCTCTTTCCTTACCCCAGGACACTTCACCTCCGCAGAGGACCTGAACCTGCTGATCGCCAAGAACACACGCCTGGAGATCTATGTGGTGACAGCTGAGGGGCTGCGGCCTGTCAAGGAGGTGGGCATGTATGGCAAGACTGCCGTCATGGAGCTCTTCCGCCCCAAAGTGAGTGTGCTGGGGATGGGGGGTGGCTCCTTGCAACCTCTCAGAGCCCCTGTGACCCTCCCTCCTTCCCTCCCTTCCTGCAGGGGGAGAGCAAGGATCTGCTTTTCATCCTGACAGCCAAGTACAACGCCTGCATCCTGGAGTACAAGCAGAATGGTGACAATATTGACATTATAACCCGTGCCCATGGAAATGTGCAGGTGAGCCTTGCTACCACACCTACTCAAGTTAAAATCTTTCTGAGAAGGTTAGGGATCCATTTGTGGGTGCCAATCCTGGGGATTGGTTTTTTGTTGCTCATCAGTCAAACGATTTAAATGGTTTCCATCAGCTGTCAAACCAAGGTATTTTCTATCGTTTTCCAGGCTTGCTGTTAGTGAAGCTGAGCAGGGGATTATGGTCAGGAGGTGTAAGTGGGCACATCCTGTCAGTGTGTTTGGAAATAAGCACTTAATCTTTGTGCTTTGTGGTTCTGCCTCGTGACATAGAGGGGCTGATATCAGCTACTTCCAGCTGGGGCCGTGGGTGATAAGAGCACTGGATTTCCATTGGGTGGGCTCTGCTCGAGTGTATCAAAGCATTTCACAGCTCGCTGCTTTTTCTCTTGCCCGCCTCCGTGGATCTCCCCTTCAGGATCGCATCGGTCGTCCCTCAGAGACCGGTATCATCGGCATCATTGACCCAGAGTGCCGGATGATTGGCCTGCGGCTCTACGATGGCCTCTTCAAGGTCATCCCCCTGGACCGTGAGAACAAGGAGCTGAAGGCTTTTAACATCCGCCTGGAGGAGCTCCAGGTCATCGACGTGAAGTTCCTCTATGGCTGTCAGGCCCCAACCATCTGCTTCGTCTATCAGGTACCTTGTTCTCGATCCTGAAATCGGTGTTTCCAAGGGTCTTCCAAAGGGGCTGAAGCGTTGGCAGTGTCCTGAAGCTTGCTCAAAGCAGTGCTATAAGAATGGGTGGGCAGAGCTAGAGATGCTTCTGGCTCCCACAGGCTTGTTTTGTAGCTGAAGGAAGTCTTCCTGGGCCAGCACAGGATGGTGGTGTGAATTCAGTTCGTTTTCACTGCAGCTCTTAGTTCTCATAGAATCAAAAAATGGCCAGGGTTGGAAGGGACCTCAAGGATCATGAATCTCCAACCCCCCTGCCACATGCAGGGCCAACCTCCACATACAATACTAGACCAGGCTGCCCAGGGCCCCATCCAATCTGGCCTTGAATACCTCCAGGGACGGGGCATCCACAGCCTTTCTGGGCAGCTGTTCCAGTACCTCACCACTCTCTCTGTGAAGAACTTCCCCCTGACGTCCAACCTAAATCTTCCTTTCTTCAACTTAAAACCATTTCCCCTTGTCCTGCAGTTATCTACCCTTTCAAGGAGTTGAGTCCCCCTCCTGTTTATAGGCTTCTTTTGCCATGTGGCAGCAGCACTCTCCTTCCTCAGAATCATGGAATGCTTGGGTTGGAAGAGACTTACAAGCCCGCTCAGCCCAACCACTGGTGTGGACAGGGTTGCCCAAGGTCCCATCCAGCCTGGCCTTGAGCACCTCCAGTGGTGGGGCATCAGCACAAGCCGCAGCTCTCCCTTGTCATCTCAAACAGCTTTCAGAACACGTGGCAGTGCTGTTTCTGTCTGAATGAGGAATGTATGTGTGTGGAGTCTTTATCCCCCACACCCACATCAACTTTGAGGTTTGAAATAAAGCTCAGCCCATCCTCGCTCCAGATCTATGCAGCGAGGGTGGCTGATGATGCTTTCTGGCTTTGAATTGCTTAATGGGTGAGCTCCTCAGAGCCAAGAAACCTGATGGTGGTGTGCAGCTCTGAGAAGATCTGCATATCTGCATGGATTTGATTGGTGTTGCTGCTGTCTGGGGAAACTGAGGCAGAGCACAACTGTGATTTGGCCAAAATCTTAAACTCAGTGTTAGAGTTTAGGCAGAAGCACGAGTTTCCACTTAGTCCCCAGAGGTGTCATAAAGGAAGAACTTGATCTCCACACTTAGTCAGCAAGTGAAAAAGGTCTTGTCCCACAGGATCTGACATTTCCATGCTACAACCTGGTCTGGAAGGAAATATGTTAGTGATTTGTTCATTTTAAGCAGGTACTGTACAAATAAAGAGTAAATGAGTGCCTCTGTGTCTGTCAACTGCGTTTCATCCTTGCAGCAGGGTGAGATGTAAGTTCTGTCTGACTCATGAGGCGTTACGTAAAGCACTGGGGTTAGGCTGTCCCTGGGAGCCTGACTCTGTATGTGGAGGCGGAATGTATCCAAGCTGCTGCTTTGTCTGATTCCTTCTCAGTTTGTTAATCATTATCACGGGATTTGGATCAAGGAGAATAGCAGCGAGTGTCTGAGATAATCTTTGTGTAGGTTTGAAACCAGAGGAGGATACCACAGAGATGAGCAAGCTTATTAAAAAAAAACACAACGCAAAAGGCTTAAGAACTGCTGTTGTAAGGAATAAAAAGGTCCAGAAATGCCAAAGTGGTGTTAACAATTCCTTTGCCATTTAATGGTCCCACTTCAGCTGTAAAATGGACAGGATGTGCTCCAGCTGTGCTAGTTCCTCCTCTCCTGCACATCTGTTTCTCCTGCTGGCTTCCCCTTCTCAGTCAGCTGGCGCTGCCCTTCTTGCAGCACTGGACTGAGGAGTTCTCTGCAGGCTGTTCCTCAGCTGGACCTCAGGAGCCTCTGCTGCAGCGACATGAGGTTGTTATGTGTTGATGTGATGTTTGTGCCTCCTCTTTCAGGACCCTCAGGGTCGCCACGTCAAAACGTACGAGGTGTCCCTGCGTGAGAAGGAGTTTAACAAAGGTCCTTGGAAGCAGGAGAACGTCGAGGCCGAAGCCTCCATGGTCATTGCAGGTTAGTCCTGCTGCACATGGTGTCTTTCCTTCCTTTTCACTCTCAGTTGTGCTGCACAGGTTCACTGATAAGACTTCTCCCCTGCGCAGTGCCAGAGCCTTTTGGAGGCGCAATCATCATTGGGCAGGAGTCCATTACCTATCACAATGGAGATAAATACCTGGCTATAGCTCCACCCATCATCAAGGTAACACCTTAACTGTGCATTTCCTAACTTACTCCTGCTACAGACACTACTGAAATTCCCAGCTGAACGTCCTCTCTGAATCTAGCAGATTTTCAGTTGCCCGCTGGTTGATTACTGCTAAAAATCCTTGCTGTGTGTAATAAATGGTGCAAGTAAGAAAGCTTTCTCATTTGAAGGCTTTTGGACCTAGTGATAGTAGGTGCTTGTCAGTCTGTTTATCTCTCCAGAACAGCTTGTGGCTTTCCAGGAGTCTGTAAGCTGGAACCTTCTACTGTGTTAGTGATGGTGGGTCTCTGTATGGCAATGACCATTGTTGTGCTGTGCTCAGAAATCCTAACCTGGGAGGGTGCTGAGCCGCTCTGGTTCAGGAATTTCATCTGTTCTTAACTTTAGCTGTAGCCTAGTAGAGCCCCTTGCAGAGATTTGGTGAGTGTCAGTGTTCTGTCCCGTGCCCAGTCTGCATTCTGGGGTCTGAGGGATATTTGTGATCCCTGTAGTGATGGCAGTGTGTGCCTGCACTGGAGTACATGGCTCTGTGGAGTTCCTGGAAATGGTGCAAGAAAGCTGAAATCTTGTTAGGGCCCCAGAGAAAAAGATTAATTAGGAGGTGGTTTG